GGGCGCCATTCCCTAGGGGCATTTTCAGACGTCATATGTGTGCTCCTTTCCGGGAAAGACATCATATGGGAGCGGCTACTCAGCTATCTGATTTCAATTATCTGTGAGGTTGGCATAATTTGTTGGAGAGGTCGTTGTTTCTCGCGGTAAATTTTCGTTAATCCAGAGCCAAAACTGCCATCAGCTGCCACTGTGGTTTGGAAGGAAGGTTGTCTCTAACTAATGAATCGTTCTTTTTCGTCTGGTGTGACGCTTTCTTCGAAAGTCGATAGATTATTGCACTCAACTGAAATGACGGAAATGGCTTCGGACCCGAAACACTGCCGCTTAAACGATGACTTCGGACTCCTTGTTCAAGGAATTCTCGCCGCTGTGGCATTCAGCACTCTTATTTGTGAGTAGAATTAGTTATTAAACATATTATTCAAAATCATAGCGTCTTCTTTCGTAGCGAATTTATCCCTTGGCGACTAGAATTTTGTCAATCGTGTTTAGATTTCAATGTCAGTTTGACAGGAACATAAAACATTTTCCTCGCATCATTGAGTGAAATTTTATGATTTTCACCAATTTCCCCCAATTTCATTTTCACAGTAATGGATTATTTATTCGCCAAAATATAATCTCGGTGTATTAAACACACTCTAAGTAAGATAATTGGTAGTTATGCGAACTTTTAGGGAATCTTATGAATTTTGTAGTTAGCTTCGCTGTCATATCTGAATACCAAAAATAGCATTTCATCTAATGCACTAACAAAACACTAAACACCTGTTCCTCGGGAGGCAATAGGATTTTTGTTTGTTCTTTGGAATTTTTCTTTTTTTTTCAAGGAATTTAGGGGGAATTAGAAATGATTCTTCCCTTTTGTTATCATAAGCGAATTTCATGCAATTACGTACATGACTACATGCACATTAATAGTTTTGCGTGTAGATGATTGAAGCATGCATGTATTTCATAAATTAAGTCGATGTAAGCTGAATATCCCCGATCTGCACATGATTGAGCAGCTGAGACGGTCAAGAGCATTTCATCCGTCGTAAATATTTTTATGCTTAGTTTTCAAATAAGAAAAATATATCTACCTTATAATTTTCTTCACCTTAGGTGTTAGTACATGTAGGAAAGTTATGATTTTCATTTTTAATTCTGAGAACAAAATTCACAGGAGAAGTGAGAACATAAATTTCTAATACTTCTAGTGATAAATGATTAAAATAAAGAGCCCAATTTTATTTACTTTAAAAACAAAAAAAATGTCAGTTTGATTAAATATAAATGCAAACGTGTTTTCAAAACTGATATATTTGTTGCATGTATGAAGACAAGAAGGACTGATTACATTTTATTCAAATGGTTTACAGCATTATTTTCTTTTAAAAGGAAGGGATCTTGGATGACAATTTCTTTTCACAATTAAGTAGATATGCATGTATATTTAGATCTCCCAATGCACAGAGTTGAGCATTACAACATTTTTGTGATCTGTCTCAACATTAGGAAGCAAGGATTGTCTAAATTGTCATGTTCATATTTTGTCAAGTTTGAAGTTTGTTATGTAATTATTTTTCCTGTTTTACAATTCAAGATGTTGTACAGTTTTGTACCATGCTCATCTATTTTTTCTATGAGAGTTCGCTGTTTTTAGCTGAATTCTGATGTATCAGATGTGAAGAAAGGTTGTTTTTACCATAAAAAGTACAATGTTTTTTCTATTACATTCATTTTTACTTGGTATCTACTTAGAAGACAAGTGTTGATATCAATATCCACTATTGTTTGTTTTGTGGTCCTATATAATTAAGAACATATCTATGACATCATTGCATGCAAAGTCAGGCGGTGATATTTCTGCTTAGATTAAGCTGTGTCATTCTCATTTGCTCTCTTAACTCCCAGAAGTGATTCTCATGTAACTTCTCCCTACAATAACAAAATAGGTAATGAGAATACTCAAATGTATCAGGTAGAAGCTTTTATCTTGATCTAACACCAAATTCTTGCAACTAATATACAAGGAAACATGTTGTAGCTAGAGGAGAGAATTGAAAATCAGATCTAGAGAGTTAGAGGGTTAATATGACTTATTATTTTAGAGGTAGAAGTTAGATATTTAACCTTTAAACTTCCAAGATCTATTGGTTGATTCTCCCTTCTAATTGCTTCACATTTCTTAGTAAATGAGTTACAAGACTTTGGCTCAAGATCAACATAACAACTTCTACCTGATAAGTTTGGGTATTCCCATTATCTGTTTGCTGGAGAATGTTTGGATATTATAGAGAGAAGTTGTATGTTCTGGGAGTTTATTGTCAGTTCTATCCTAATATGAAATTCACTTTGTTAGTTTAGTATCCTAACTTTTTGTGGCATAATTTCAAGAGGTTTCATCTTCTGGCAATAAAGTAGAGGCAGTTTATAATAAGACTGAGTATGCAGAAAAGAAGTTCTATATTTTTCTTCGACCTACACGTACAAGAGATTATTGACCTAATAACCCTTCCATTCCCCAGAATTACACATTATTTTTTAAAACTTTTTGTTATAATATAGAAGTGAGAACCATTACTTTGAAAAGGGAATTTTTAGGTCTTATACAAAACTGGACAGGTCGAATGTGTTTTGGTGAACATCTGTAAAAAGTGATAAATGATCTGTTATTCTTTATTTATAGTGAAAAGATTGAGAGAACCTCTATCTGAAAGAAGACCTGTTCTTATTTGGTAAGTGATGTAATCAAGTCACTGGCAAATTTTGAAAAGCTCGAGATATAAGCATGATGGTTTTTCATCCAAGCAAAAGCAACTGTCTTAATGCCTGTTTTTTGGCTTGTCATTGCAGGTTTTTTGATACCTCAAAGCAAGCAGTTGGTGCCATGCTTGTACACTTTGCCAACATCTTCTTAGCTAATCTTTTCAAAGGTGATCCATGCACTTGGTGAGTGAAACATATATGTCTTTTCCCCTTGAACAAGCTGTCATTCTAATAAACAGGTACCAGATTCAGGCTTGTCATTACAACTCCTAAGAGACTCTAGGACTTGCATGTTGTGGCAATTTTACCCAGCTGGACTTATTGAGATTGAGTACAATGCATCTATATTTATAAAATATCAAGGTTACCATGAAATTCCCCTAATTCCTAACTCTAGATTATTAAGGTTATATTTCTTATACTGTGCCTAGCAATGCAAGTTTGGAGTCTTAACCCTTTATCTCTCAAGATCTCATCGGTAGTTCCCCGCCCTGTCTACCATATAATTCTTGTGATGTTAGTTTGGAGAATTTGGGTTTGGATTAACTAATAATCCCCTAATTAAGATTTTTCTTTATTCTCATCACTTGTCTACTTGATATTTTATTGATATTGTAAGGAGAAATTCTATCTTGGTCACTTATGGGAGTTAAAGTGTTAAAAGAAAAAAAAACAGTTTCCTTTGACTCTTGATCTCTCTATCTCTTCCTTTACCTGAAACTCCCAGCTAGAAGTTGATACTGATAGAATCAAAGCAAGAGGGTCATGTTCTTGTTAGCATGGGATATGTAAGAATAATATCATGCACTAATGCAGCTTTTTCTTTGAAGGTACCTGATTAATTTCTTGTTGGATTCTACTCTTGGCCTTGTGGTAATTTACCTCTGTCTTCAGTTCATGCAAGTTATTGTAAGAATGTATGACTGGGATAACTTGAGATTTGGCGAGTATGGTAAGATTTATGTGAAATATGACATGATTTAAATGAAAATAAGCAATGCAATAATGGTAAACTTTGAGCCAAATTATGGAATGAAGAAAGTTTCTATTTGTACATCCACAAGTATGGACTAAAGAGAAAATCTCAGCCCCCCCATGAGAATGAATGGCAGACTTTTGACAATCTGATTCACTGCTGCTGAGGTACAGAGAAAAAATCAGCAAACTAGGTTATACACGTAAACTATTAAATGCAGTTAAATACAATTTAATAGAGTTAACAACAAAGAGCATTAGCATTCTCTAGTAGTCAGTGGTTTCTACATATGTGCATGTGTTAGAATTCCATGTGCTCTTCATCTGAGCTTTTATTGCATGTGCTTTTAGCATGAACTTTCAGCGTTGTTTGGAGTGGCAGCTCATTGTCCGGGCAGTTTTCCCCATCCCTTCCCTCCTTCTTTCCATTGTTTATTCAGTGTGATGGGTGCCTTTTTCACTTTCCTGGGTGGGGGCTCATGGCTGGATTGCCAGGATTTGCCAGCCATGGGAGAAGTCTCCATCCAGGAGCTGGCTGCCAGTAGTGATAGCTCCTGGATGTCTCAGGCACCCAACCTCCACTTGGTGATCCAGTTGGTTGCATACAACATGCACCTCAAAGCTTCTCAAATTGATGATCTCAGCAGTATGTAGTAGGCTTGCCAAATATGAACTTGATAAATATTCAAACTTACAATAAGTTTTCTATAAGTCATTGCAACAGCAGTGCACTGCAAAATGTGAAGATCTGGGCTTTGATGCCTTTTTGGGGACTGAAGTTTTCTCTTTGTCCTATGCTTGCAACTGATTGATGAATGACTTTTCTTTACTTTAATATTCAGTTTTAGAATAAATATTTCAGTGATCTAGCACTAGATCTATGTGCTCTTGATTGCTATGAACATTCCACCCTTATCAACTATAATGCAATAGAAATCTTGTAGAAAAAGCTCATAATCTTATCATCAATAATTATGGACAGTTATTTGCCAAAAATCTGATTGGTTCTCATACACTGCAAACTCATATGGTTATTAACCTCTGGGTTCTACTTTCTCTAAGGTCATCCATCTAAAAGTACACGCCTTGCCTAGAAACTGGAATTCTAAAATATCACTTTCCTTGTGCAACTACGTGTAGCTACCTGAGGAGACAGTTTCAGCTGAATAGTAATGTTTACTTTCTCCACTGGCAGGTAATCCTCCACAGTGCAAAGCTTGGGCAGGGCAGTGTTTTCTGTACCTGTGGGCTGTCATCATTGAAAAGGCTACCATAACCCTACTGGTGCAACTTAATTTTTGGGAGGAAGTTCGTAGGTTCATTCTTTTACCAGTCAAGAACCATCCAAGAGTGGAGCTTGCAATATCAATGCTGATTATTCCTTTTGTTTTCAATGTAAGTAGGTTCCTTGAATTGTAATGTTTAAAAGATTGCTGGTGATGTTTGCACAGCAGAGGTGGTTTAGAAAGAGGGAAAGGAAGAGGTTGTATGTGCTGCATGTTCTTCTCTTTGCATTTTCTCTGGTACTGATAAGGAGAATTTGTCTAACAATCAAAGACTCTTACAAGTAGGTTGGCAATCTATTCTCATAATGTTACTAGATGATTCAGCAGTGTTACTGAGGAGAAAGTAGATGCTGATCACCCCTAGGTTTTAAAAGAGCTACTAAGATGAGTTACAGTACTGTTTTAACCTATTACACCCTAACATCAGTATAAACATTCTCCATACTGTTCTCTATACAATTCCTAAGGTGCTGGCAAGTAGAATTTGTTTACTAATCAAGAGCTTTTTGAGTTGGTAACTGTTTCCTTAAGTCTCATGGTATTAATGTCTGATTCAAGGGTGATATTGTAAGGAGAAATTAGATGCTTATCACTCTTAGGGTGTATAGGGTTAGTGTACATTTAAAACTTTGTTATCTCCTCAGGCTATAATGTTCTGGGTTGTTGACAATTTCCTCATGCGAAAGAAGAAAAAATTATTACAGAAAGAAGACACAAGGAACAAAGTTAAATATGAAAGACGAGCAGTGATGAACGGATCTGATGAAGAGGCTGTGCTCTTGGAAAACATGACAGAAGGAGAGAGTCTGACAATTCCAGATGACAACATTTATCATAGAGGGGACACTGTGAGAAGATGATAGCTTGCAAAATCTTGGAAGATTATAGATACATAAACAGGTAGCCGGTCGCCCCTCTGAGCAGGCTTTTCTAGATGAGCAAATACAGTGTGGAGATTTGTTGATCAATAAGCAATGAAGGTGCTAGTGTGAAAATGGCATAGAAAGTTCCTTATTCATGCCCCCTAATTTACTTTTGGGTGGTGGGGTTATGACAATTGTCATTAGCTCAGGAATTATTGTGTCATTTTCGTTCTGTTAGGTATACAAACAATCGGCCACCTTTCCCTGAGACAGAAAAATGATTGAGATGTATTTTCCCATTTTCCAGGTAGCTTGCCAATTATTTCCCATTATTTTCTACATGTAGCAATTTGCAATTTCCTTCCTCTTTACTTAGAGTTATAGCAGTTGTACTGTTTTCCTGGTTTTTTTTTTCTTTTCAATTACATAAATTTTAAATTTTGTTGCATTTTTATACATAAAGGAAGGGAGAAAGTGCTGACCTTGTGAAGGTGAGGGATCAGGCCCTCCCTTCATCTGCACAAAAGGGTTAACCCTTGACACCTTATCTAACATTATACATATTTGTCCTACTGTTCTCTGTAAATTTCCAGTGGTACAGGTGGGAAAAAGTTGTTTAACAATCAAGAGCCCCTTTACCTGTATGGATTGATCTTCAGAGCATAGCCAACCCTCTTTTTATCTTCAGAAATTGCAGCTCTATTTACAAAGAAGAAATGTAATTTTATTTGGTGTAGCATCAGAATTTCCTGACCAGTTTTGAAGGGCTGAATTAGAAATTCTTAAACTGTATTGTAAATAATAAAAATTTAATGTGAATTCAAAATAGTTTCGATAAGGATATATGGTGAAATTCAATTAATTCTTGATTTTGGGAGAGATAGCAAACAGTTACGTTCAGATACTAAAAAACAATTGTCATGATAAAATTGGACATTTATTTTTTTTAGTTAATAATTCATAAACTGTTTAACTCTTGTTGCTTCCTGGATTAATTATTGCCTATTTAGTCTTTTCCTTTGTTTACCCAACTCAATTTTTTGTAAGTTTTCTTCAAGTTGAGGGTTTTCTTACACAGGAAGGAAACCAGAAAAGTGTGCTCATCCTCTGTAACTCTTTTCCCTTAAACTCCTAAATCAAATTTGTAATTCTCCTTACTGTCAACCATACAATTCTTATAATATTAGTACAGAGAATTTAGAATCAGATCAACTTATTTGCCCCAAAGTGATATTTTTCTTTATTCTCATCACTTTTCTGGTTGATATTGTATTGATATTGTAAGGAGAAATTATGCCTCTGATTGTTAATTCTCCCCTCTAGCTGCAACACATTTCCTTCCTTGTAGATTGTTTACGAGAATTTGGTGTTAGATCAAGATAGCTGATAAATTTGACCATTCTCATTACCTGTTGCTGGATAATGTATGTATGACTGTCATAGAGAGAAGTTAAATTTTAATCACTGTAGGGAAAAAACGTTCAAAATCAAGGTGTCAGTGTTATGACTACTGCAAGATTCCATTTTTTGAAATAACCAACATTCGTACCAACGGGTAATGTACCTTTAACAATTGAGATACTGAGTTATAAGAATATTTATTTTTTAGTTCAGATTTTGTACTTTCTGTGTGAAAATCTATTGTTTCTTTGAAAGGAATTAGAGTGAATATTTAAAAAGTGTTATCAGGTTACATAGTATAAGAACTTATATTTTATTAATTTTAAAATGTCTTTGTAGTTGAGCTGTAAACCAGTTACAAGATGTAAAGAGTCTCTTTATGTACACAGTGAATTATCAGATTTGCTTTAGTGAGAATCTTACTTGCCTACTGTCCTCATTTCTTTAGTGAAAATTGATACCTTAAAGCATTTAATTCACCGACCTGTTATACTTTTTTATAAAAGAATTGGAAATAAAGAATAGTAATTGCTTTTTTTGCAGATTTACTTCAATATTATGGACTCAGGGTACTTTTATGACATGGTTTTCCAATATTTAATCCTTTTACTCTCAAGATCTCATCAACAAATCTCCTTACTGTCTACCATATGATCCTAATGATGTTGGTTTGGAGAATTTGATACTGGATCAACTGATAATTCCCATATTGATATATTTCTCTATTCTCATCACTCGTCTGTTTGATATTGTCATGTTATTGTAGGGAGAAATTCTCTGATTAGTTGGAGGAGTTTAAGGTTCAAACATTACAGGTGTGCTCTCTCAAAAGGATGCTGTTCAAGGTTCCTTTTTGGTCTGAAAACTGGGAATTGTTTATCCTGTGCTGTCAACAAGCTCACAATTTTACTCCTGTTCTTACGAATAAAAATTTATTCTCAATTTATCGACAAAAGAAAAACCCTTACATAAAGAATTACAGTAATTATTACAAAATGAACATTTTAAGCTTTGATCCACGCTGGTGTCACAGGGAGACCTAATTTTGCCGCGGAAAACCGCTGACCAAAGTAATAGCAGCAAGGTAATCATCTAATGAGTGACGATCCTCTCCACTGTCCGAGCCACAAGAAGCTTGGTGCCGAGCCTTGAGGTTGCCAGTGGGTAAGGAATTGGGACTGAATGATGAGCTCACTGAAGCTGATACACGAGGACCTAACATCACACTGACCGTTTGTGGAGAGGAACACTGTCCCCTGGTGTCCATGTGAAAGACTGTTGAGTTTGCCTCGCCCGGGAAACTGGTAATCCTGGGAAGCATATCTTCGGTAGCGGGCCCGTTTGGCAGAAACATAGAAGCGTTTCCTAAAAACGGAGAGAAGAATGGGCTCCAAGGCGGGAAACTGACGGGCGAGGGCTGGAACGTGGCTGGTGACACAAACGGGTTACTGACTGATCGGATTGTGGAATCAGGGAGCGATGGGGCAGGCTTGTTTTTGATCTCGTGCCTTCGCCATCTTGAGCGGCGATTCTGGAACCAGACCTGAAGAAAGAATTAGAACAATTTCAGTCAAATACATACACATAACAATACTGCACACCTGAGTGGGATCTCGTCTCTGGTTACAACCGCTTTAGTCAATATGATCATAAGCTGAACTATGTTACCCTAAATGTAGCATGGCAATTTTCAATCGATAGTCGAAGGTTTAATCCGGGATTGTATTGGTATTGCCTTAGTTAATTCTTTGGTTGGTTCAGAAAAATCACAACACTCTCTCAGATGTTAAACTAAAACCATTAAACCTGGTCCCCCATGTGGGTTTTTGAATCATTAATTTTTCTTGTGCTTAGCTCAGATAATTTATCGCTGGATTCGAAAAGTGGCTATGTCACATGTTGTCTTATCTTAGGTCAACATAGTACCTATTTGAATGATATGTCTGAATTAACAAATTTACTTTCAGTCCGAGATGAATCGTCAATCCTACCTGAATCCTGTCTTCTCGTATGTTCAGTTCTCGCGCCAGCTTCTCTCGTAAGTGAATACCCGGGAATCGTTCTTCTTGGAATGCTTCCTCCATTCGATTGAGTTGTTCATTAGTAAACGCTGTTCTTCTTCGCCTTTTCCGCAGTTGATCATCTTAGGGAATCAATAAATAAAATTGTTAATTCGCTTTGGCTATAAAATCCCAGCGCAAATATATCCCACATAAATCTCTTTAAGGAAGGCAATAAGAAGAATTAATTATAAGGTTCACGTTATCTTATTATAGCATACTAATACTAGCTGTCCTCATGGCGTGTAAGTACTGATGAGCAAAATCGTGATCTTGTTTTCAAAAGATTATGATAACGCATACTCTCCTCGTGGAAGTAAACCGAAAGTGCAAGGAAAGCAGCAAAATACTTCTTAAATGGTTTACATTATAATGTATCAGTTTTTGTAGAGAACTTGTGGATTAAGTCGCTTATTTCAATTCGGTTACATTTACTTACATTCAATTTCCGCGGCTGGTCTTTTGCAGGCCTTCCTTGAGTTCATTTTTTAAATTCCGGTGAGCGAAGTTTCAACTTTGAAGTGCACAGCTCACAAGAGACGTTCTCGACACAGAGGTATAAAAGGTAACTGACTGGTTGTGAAATTAATTTTTTTATATAGCACACGCTGTTCAAATGTGGGCGGGCTACCACCAAACTTGTCATTGACTTGATTAGAAAACTGTTTATCACACCTATTGTTATTTCTTAGTGCGCGTCTAGCCATTGTTATGCACCAACTTTCACCTAAAATGATTTGTAAATTATTTTCCACATGTATTGTTATTAATTTTTTCACCTCTCTCTATTGTTACATGCATCATCACGCACAAACTTGAAAATTAGACTCGTGTTAAGTTTAGTTTCACTGAAGTGTCAAAACTCCCAATTTATTTTCCTTCACTCAGATTTGATCTGATTTTTCATTAAATTTAAACTTAAATCGGTTGCCCTAGGTTTGAAACATTAAGGAAAGAATCAAAATCATTATAAGCTTCCTTCAAAACGAATTGACGCGCGCATGAAAATCCTGAACGTTTTAATTTAAGCAACACAATCTAGCCTTTCCATGCAGAGAGCCATCTCTTAAGGACAACTTTTTATTATGAAGAGTTTCCTGTGTACCAAAATAAGCCTCCCAGAGGAAAATACTTTGTGCGAAAGTCGATTCAATCTAATCTGCTCTCAAAAGAAAATATTTTCTATCGCTATAGTTGTTATCTCTGGCGGACACCTCTTTATTACCTTAATGACTCTGAGTAACGAAGGGACCGTGTCTTAGTTTATACGAAAGTCTGTTCCTTTATTGATACATCCGATTACTCATTCATTCGACAACGCTCGCAAGCGATACGCAAATTTAAAGTTATCAGACATGAGTGGAATTTATCTGATACGCCATCTAATTAAAAGTGGAATTCCAATTGCAAGCGCGTGTGTTCAACCTTTTCTACAACATGGTTTTCTGTACAAAATAAAAGAAAACATAACCAAAAATTATCCAGTCTTTTTTTCTGGATTCCTTACACCTGAATGAATAACTTCTACAGGAATCAGAGTGAACTCTGAAACTGAATAGAATGACAAACGTTGGAATTCGAAAGGAGTTTACGAAGTTTTAAAACGCAATATTTCTACGAACTGCTCAATTGTATTCTTGTCTTAGTTCGGCTGCACAAACTGACAACGTAATAATGAGCACTTAAGCGCGTGTAAACGTGGCGTAGGGCCAAAAAATGAACACAACAGAACAACAGAAAAAACGAGTAAGAGGCTTGGTGCGCGGTTTGGGTCCAACCTCCGACTGCCTCGACCCAAACCACCTCATTTTTTTGATTTTGATCAAAGAAAATTAACCGCCATCGCGAGTCACTCGAATTGGATCTGAATAAAACATGGTAACAACATTCCACGTTTTGAAACTTGAATGAAATCAAAGTTGATAATAATCGTTAAATTCACTTTTATTTAAAAGGGACTAAAAAAATATCGAGCGTGCAAGTTTTACAATTGCAAATGGTGCTTACTAATGCATTATCAATGGAAAGACGGTCAGAATTGAATCACAATGTCTGTGAAAAATATTTACAATCAAGTCACTAACAACTGTTCGACAATTAAACTGATGTGTTAATCAATCTACTACGCAAGTAAATTACAAGTCTATTTACAACTTGGTAGTTGACCACTTACGTTCTAAGAATCTGTCTTGGTTTTAGTTTTGGATATTTGACTGTTAACGATATTTCAAATTCATTATTAATCATGTAAAAATGCGAGTCACCCCAATAACAAAGGTATCATGATAACGATTTCACTATTAAATTTTCCAGCATCGAAAACCTTGAACACTCCGAAGAAGGCTCTATATTCAAACTAATTCCTTGGTTGCATTCCAATACAAAGCAATGACTATTATGAATCATGACTACAGGGCTTTTTGCTAAGATTTCTTCACGGCTTTGTAAACGAATCTAATGCAGGACTCTAACTGCATTGAAAAGGCTTTCTATAGATATCACACAAGCTGATGAGTGGCTTTAGTCATTCAGTTACTGAAGAACAGTGACCAATTCAACCAATACCATTTATGTAAAGATTAACGAGGGAAATTGGCCACAACTTGCGTTGGTTCTATGTCTGCTGTCATAAGGATCCTTGAAAGTGAAAAGCACTCCCTGGCACTCAACAGAGCTTTGGCCTCGCTGTCCGTACCATGACAAAGGACCTTTGATAATTGATAGTAATTCGTAATATTTATATGCCTCCAGATGAATCGGACGGTTAAACAATACATCAAAGCCATAATATTTAGAGTTCTCTCTGGCGGTTGATGCGTAATTTCCAGACTGTGTTACCAGACACTTTGTAAAAGGTTCGGTACAGTTCACCTGTAAGGAAACCTGGTACTCGTTTCCTATGGAGCCAAAAAGCTCAACCCCGCGAAGCCTGATGGGTTTATTGACTGAGAACTTCAATTTGTCAGTGCTATCAACGTCGTAGCACCACTTGCTAGAATTGCTCGCCGAATAATTTACCGCTGATGAGGCATTTGCCTGACGGTATGACCGGGTTAATTGACCGCTACGCAATTGGTTGCGGGTCAGATAATGAGAATTATCATATAATTTAACTTTCCTGGTCTGACTAATTGGCATATCAAACCCTGAAAATCTGTGGCATCGAAAAAAGCTGGCAATAAATCTTTTCTCTTGGGAAAATGGCAAAGAAAGTGTTGGAACGTTGCTGTAGTATCTCATCATGTCGCTGTTCTCCTCATTTGTGAGAATGCCAGAACTTAACACCACAGACGCAAACTCTGCCTGAGAAATTAGAGGAAACCTTATGGCTTTAACAATTTCATCTCCGAGAATTCGTCTTTTTAGGCGACCAGTAGGAGTTTGTCCTTGCTTTACAATTTTTTTGGTGGCCCACTGATCTATTGCCTTAAAGAGATCTACTTCCTTAACATTCAACGTTCTTCTTTTCACGACAGACTTGACAACAGATATTTCAACTGTTGAGAATCCATCTGACATCAACGCCTCGTCCGCTTGCATCTCAATAAGTTTCCAACATTCTCTTTCCAACTCTTTCGCTTCGAATTTCTCAGCAGCGACTAGAATTTGAAAGACATTCGATACTCCTAAAATGTCACGCAAATACTTAGTGCATTTATTCACGAGCGAAGGCACCATGTATTGCGTGGCTAAGTTCAACACTTGCATTACGTTGCTTCCGCTCAAATTTACTTTGTCGTAGTACAAGAAACGAAGCAACTCCAACAGGCTCTCGTACTCATAGTCAGGTAAATCAATAGAGTTTTTAGTTTCCGCCATTGGGCCGTAGAACATGGCGCAAAACACAGGACTGCTGATTGCAAGAATAAACTTGTGAGCTGGAATCTCCAGCTTCGTGCCGTTTGACGCTGGAACAACAAATTTTATATCGCTTAGTAGCTCTCTGCTGAATATAAATTTGTTTCTGTCTAAGACAGTAAGACACTTTGTCTGCCAGTCTTCTGCTTCAATAATCGGTGCGTCAGCGATAGCTGTGTTGTTTGCAGCCTCCGCAGCCCCTGAAATTTCGTAGTTTGTTGCCATCGTTGCTGTTACTGATTTATTGGCGTTCTTTGATAAAACAATCCCCATGTACTCTCACTTGATATCCTTTCACTAATGGTTTGCGATTGAGAGTCGCTGAGCAAAAATTGAAGATAAGAAATCGACGAGGTCTCGGTTAGATGTGTTTACTTCTCGCAACGAATGAAAGCTGGGCCTCTCGATTTTCGTAATTTAATAGCCTCGAGGTTATGTGATTACCCAAATATTCAAAATATTACGTAGTGTTCTGTTTCTAAATATTATATTGCGTCTCGGAAAATCTTCTGCATGACAGACTGTACTTGGTACGTTTGAACGTAGTTTTACGTCACATCGGCCCGTTCCACGCTTAATATTCTTACTATTATCATTATTGTTGCTATCATTATTATTATTATTATAATTTTTATCATTATTATCATAATTATTATACCTATCATTATTATCATTACACCTATCAATTCTAAGCTTTAACATCTCCCCCTAACCCTCGGACAACCCACGGGAATTTGACTGTCGCCCATGCCCGAGGGAGGGGAAATTTGAATGTTTTAGATAAAGACAGATTAAAAAATGTCATAACTGTAAAGAGAACGTAAATGTTAACCCCCCACCCCCCCCTTCTTCCACGACCGCAGGTTGGCTACTTTCCTTCGTCCCTAGGACGGCCCTTTAATCAACAAGTTTATTGATCAACACAAGTTTATTGTGTCTTAGGCTCAGCTATTCAGGTGTGACATAACATAATGAAATGGCACACTAGCCAATTCTCTGTATTCAACAAAAATTAAATTTAAATTTAAAAGTTTATACCATAAAATTCGAATAAAAACTTTAAAAATTTAAAAGTTTAAGTCAGAATCATAAATTGCAATCTTAAATAATTCCATGCTATGCTAAGAAGTAAAAACAATTGATCATATGTACTAACAGTCATCCCGAGTTTAACAACAAGTAAAAAGCTAGGTTAAAAGGCCCAAACGGTAAATTTTCTTTATACTGTTTTTGAAGGCCTTAAAAGTTCTGACAGTTCTGTGTGACTCTGGTGGCAGATTCCACAGCTTTGGCTCTAGGTAACGCCTCTGAATGGCCCCTTAAAAAAAAAACGGAAAAAAACAAACGAGCAAATAATAATAATATAAATAATGGTAATAGGAGTCCAATTTGGACTGTAATCATACGAGTGATTAACAAATCGAACGACCGCCAAGCGGGAGTCAGATTTGTTAATTACGAGTATGATTGCAAACAAGTGGATGACAAGAAGTCCTGTTACCAATTAATCACAACTATGACAAAATTTGAGAAAGAAACTAGACATTGGTTCTACACGTTTTCATTTAAAATTAACTCGGCGAAATGCGAGACAACAGCGCGCGCACATGACGCGTTTTGTCCACTTACCTAGGCATGACGTCCTATTACACCGTCAAATTACAAGCATGACGCGTACACTGTCCTATTAGTGCACAAATCAGGCTGGTGATAGCCAATCACGTTCGATAATTTTTTTAAAGTTTTGATAATGATAATAATAATAATAATAATAATAATAATGCTAAAAATTAATATTAAAATAATCAACGTGGAATGAGTGTGATTTGAGAGGCTGATGTGACGTAAAACAGCCCTCCCTAAAGGCCATGAAGGTGATTTTGCGAGACGTAGTATCGAATTTTGAAATAGAACACTGCGTAATATTTTATATATTTGTGTAGTTTTCACCAAAGGATTATTGTATTACGAAAACCGAATAGCTCTTCGGCTCTTTTCGTCAATTTTTGATTTGTGTCTCTCGATCACAAACCACAATTGAAAGGAAATCAAGTCAGACTGTATGGGGGTTGTTGTATCAAAGAACGCGGTCAAACCAGTAACAGCAGCGATGCCTACAAACTACGAAATTTCGGGGGCTGTTAACTACAACACGTGTGAGGCTACATACAACTCTGCCGCCTTTGATGCACCGGTTATTGATAATATTGGCAGACAAAGTGTGATACTGTCTTAGACAGAAACAAATTTATATTCGACAGGGAATTGCTAAGCGATGTAAAATTTGTTGTTCCAGCGTCAAACGGCAAGAGGCTGGTGATTCCAGCTCACAAGTTTATTCTTGCAATCAGCAGCCCTGTGTTTTGTGCTGTGTTCTATGGTCCAATGGCGGAAACTAAAAACTCTATTGATCTATCTCACTATGAGTACGGGAGCCTGTTGGAGTTGCTTCGTTTCTTGTACTACGAGGAAGTAATTTTCAACTGAGTGTCGAAAGTGATCCGGAATTGCTTTGCTTTTCACTTAAATTGGTTTTGCGATTGGTCCAGAAAACTCGCGCCACTCTCTCAACCAATCAGCTTGCAGCTTTATCATTCGCGGCCGGCTTAATTATTCGCGTTTTCCCGCGCTTCGAGCAGTGTGCTTGTTTTCACTGAGTCCTCATTGGCTAATGATGACGTAAACCTGTGTTTTGATTGATCGCTGGGACTACTTTGGTTTTGGTTTTTCGACACAAAAACTGACCCTGCTCTATAGAAGTAACCATAGTAACTCAGTTTGTTTCCGAAATATACATTTGATTCTTCGCAACACAGAAAGATAAATGAATTCAAAGCTCAAAACTAAGCTTTGAATCGCGATCGTGCTAAAGTAGATCTATATATTTCCAAAAAGTTCAGCGTGAAGCTTGATATTAAAGATGATGTCGACAAGAGCAAAAGAAAAAAAATTCAGCCAAATATCTCATATGAGTTGTAATACGAGTACACTTTAAAACTTTGGTAATAAGGGAATCTAGGTATGTACCTACAGATGAAATCGTCGAAGGGCGTTTTTTGGAGTGTCACAGGCTTTTGATTAGAAAATTTTGTGACGTTATAAATTGTGTGATGTTGGTGTCTCTTACATAAAATTGACCTATCCAACTACAGGAGATGAGGAATCATTTCATCATGGGGCGCATTTCGACTGATCGTCGTAAAATACAAACCAGTGTCATTAATGCACAAATGATTACTTAGTGATTTAGGGAAAGTACTGATTAGTACGACTGAATTTGTGAAAAATACATCTTTGCTTGTTTCCTATCTTGTGATCGGTTGATTTTGTATATTAAAGTTATCCTGGTAACTTGCAGTAGAAGAATTGTTAGATATGCATTATTGACCAAGCGTGAGGTCAAGATGGCTGGATATTGGCTGACTTCAGTTTTTCGTTTAATGGACCGTGACAAAGTCGAGGTCCATAAAAACGCAAATAATTTGTCAAATTTATAGGGTTGACTTAAAAAAAAAAAACAAAGAATTAAAAATCCTATCAAAAGCTGCCTACAGAATGAACTCAGAACGAACTCTTGTAACGAGCTAAGCATGATGTGCTATCAGCGGAGAACGAAAAAAGGGGGAAGTTTGGGTCGAGTTGATTTTGGATGTGACCCATGCGCCAATACTACTACACTGCGTTTCTCAGCTGCTGGCCTGGCACGCTAAGGACGGTTGGTGTTGTGAAGTACTAGTCATGTGAACTACCTGAAGCGTCTAGTTTAGCTCTCTGTTGTGGCTTCAGTCACAAGTTTGATAACGGAAAAAAGGGCTTTCGATTTTTGCATGAAATGTCTATAGGAAAAAAAAACTTTACCACCGACGGGAAAACGAATATCATGTTATCGTTATAAAGAATGCGGAAAAGCTTTCAGCTCAGCCGTGAAAATTTCCTGTTTCCTTTCTCCATATTACTGATGAGTCTATGCAAGAAACTATAATCTCTTGGGTTTCAGACGGAATGGTGTGACAAGAATTCGCACGCTGTTGCGGACCTCTGTTTGGATTTAGGGACATCGATGAAACATTGCTAAAATCCCTTTGAAATTCAAGAACCTGTTAAAATTATCTCATAAACAACAAGAAGCTGTTGCAAAAAGAGAAATATAAGTTTCTCATTTTCACCTAAATCTCCTGCTTACTTCCAATAAGGTCATATCCCTCCCTCAGAAAACCGAGACTGCAGGAAATTAAATCTGCGGTAAGGTATTTGACGCATGCTCGGATCGGTCTTTCAAGTTTATTCTCGGAGAAAATCATTGGGGGACATGTATTTTAAACTATAGCTTTTCGTTGTTCTTTTATTTCTCCAATTATTTTTTGTCATTGTGGTTTTATTTCCCTTAATAATGCGTGGGGTTGTCGTAGCAAGTATTTTTCTCGTTGTACACTGTATGTGTGCGGTTATAAACGCTGAACTCGTCCGCGATCAACCGTCTACAGACGTCCGAAAATTATCGATCTCGAGAAAATCCCTGAACTCTCAGCGACGTTTTCGCCGAGACGCGAAACACGAGGAAGATGAAGATGTAGTCAACGTAGGAGGAGACGGGAATTGCCACAATCCTACCGTGGATAAAAGCAGTAGAATAGAAGATAATCCAGTAAGTCTAGTGCATTTTGCAGTTTTATGCTTTGTTTACAAAGAACAGCCATATTTCCGCATCTTGTAACAAGGGTAGTTGCAATTCATTGGAACCTTTTTTCTTTTCTTTTTTTTTTAAAGTGGAAGTTTGAAAACGAAACAAAGATGAGTATTTCTATCAGCTGGATCGGTAAAAAACAGACTGGGGAAGCTGCGGTGAGTAGAGCTTTTAATCACGATCCTTATTTTTCGCTTTACGAAAACTACGTCGTTTACCTCAGCGATACCGATGCATCTACCAACTGAAATTAGTATTCGGTTTAATTTACCTAGTGCGGATCACATGATGATCGGTGGTGTTTAGACAAAATTATAGGCTCTCAGTATGTGCAAACTTTCTATCAAACCTTTGCTCGATCTTTCGGCTCTAGCAAGTGTTTTTGTTGTTAAATTTTAGGTACTTTTTCTCCCCTGCAGTTATTGTTTATCATTAATCATAAAATGTCGGTTATTGAATTATGAAGGACAAATTACCATGGTATCCAAAAATTCCTCCAGGAATGCCCTTTTTTCTTAAGGGATATGCGCATGAAGTTTTGGCTCGCAGTTTTTTTCGTTTTTTTCCTAACAAAGGCAAATGTAACATTTATAGGGAAAGATTTAGATGAATTTCCATGAGATTGTTTAAATTTGACATGGAGTGGTACTATTAAATATCAAATGATTTTTAAGTCTTTAGGATACAGATTGAATTTTATGTCTGACTGCACTGATTAAAAAAGCAGTTGTTTATTTTCTATTTTAACACACTTAAACAAATAATGGGTGAAAGAAGCATGTGTGGGTAATTAATAGCCAAAAACCCCTCATTAAAAAATCATTAAACAAAAAGAATTAAAGAAAAGATGAAAATAAGCAAATGGTAGAATTCTGTTGCGTCTTGTAAAACTGAGGTAGATTGATGATCAATCTACCTTGATCAATTGATGAAAAATCTACAGTGTAGCTCTGTGGAGGTAGATTGATCATCACAATAAGTCAACCCTTTCATTCCCAAGATCTTGTCAGTAATTCCCCTAACTGTCTGCCACAAAATTGTTATGATGTTGATTCTGGTAATTTGGTTACTGCTTACTTATAATCTCCTTTGTGATATTTTCCTTTATTCTCATCACTTGATTGCTATTTTAAGGAAAAATTTTGCCCTGGTCAGTTTTGGGGTAAACAGGTTAAGTTAGGTTTTTTTTTTACAAGTTTTTGTGAATTAACCCTTTAATTCCCAGAAGTGATTAACATAAAACTTCTCCCTACAATATCCATACATTCTTCAGTAAACAGGTAATGAGAATATTCAAACTAATCAGGTAGAAGCTGCTATCTTGATCCAGCACCAAGTTCTCATAACTAATTTACAAGGAAATGTGTAGCAGCTACAGGGGAGAATTAACAATCATATCTTGGGAGATTAAGGGTTAAAAGGAAGTACCATAATGATTTAATTTAGTGCCCTCATTCCAATTCCACTGTTGCATAGCACTTTCCAAGGGCTTTGGGAGATATATAAAACTGTATAAAAGTTGTTTGGAAATAACTCTTTAAGTAATTTAAAAGTTTATGTTGTAACCAAATGCTTTTTAAAAAATGAAATTCTGTATTACATTTCTCTTTTATGTCTTTCTTTTAGACAATGCTACTGTTGGCCACAACTGAGCTGATGTTTTTCTACAGCAAACCTTCAGACCTTTACAAAAGGTAAAAAAAAAAAATGGATATCGTTATCATTGTAAATAGTGATCAAATGTATTCATATGCCTTTGGTCAAAGTAAACACAAACTGCCTGGATGGCTGGTCATTTTTTTTTTTGTACATGTAATTCTGGTTGAGACATGTTGTAGTTAGTAGTTTTGTAAGGACTGTTTTGTTGCATATTTTGTTTTTTTTTATTCTCCGAAGTTGAGTTGTGAAAATCAAAATGACACAATGAATCCTCAGGAGGCAGCTTAGTTCCAGGAGGAACTATCTGAAGCTCTTCTCTAATGAATCTATGCTTTGATCCATCTTTCAGATAGTAGAGAACTGGCTCTCCTTCATTCACAATTAATCTATCTATGTTGTTGACCTTCATAGACTTGAAGCTCTTTTCTGTCTGCCTTCCAACTCACCAGTTGCATACAAGTACCTCACATTCTTTGAGGAGTTTAGTGTCCTCTCCTTCAAGCCAACAGGTCTTGAATAAGGGGTTGAACTCTTTGCATCAGCCACCTTTAGTTATCATTGATTGCCTCAACAGGACTCTTTCCCGTTAATTGAGTCACTACATGACTCAAAGCTGAGACAACTTTTGGAAGTCTTTTCAGCTGTTCAGTAAATCTCTTTTGGGAAGTGAAATTCATCTACTGACCTGATACTGAAAACTGAACAAACCTTCACCCAAAGTTTGATGGATTTTCTCAATGATTCCTTGATCTCTGTGATGGTCCACATTCCCTCTCCTTATCCTCACATCATGCTTTTCCATTTCTTTTGTGACATCACCTATGAATTCATGCCCGGGATTGACCTAAAGAACTTTCGGCCATTTTTTAGTGATCCTCTCTAAAGAATCCCTTGAGGTTAGTGGTTCAGCATCTTTGTCATCATATGCACTCAGAAATTTTCTTCTACATAAGAAAGGGATGGCTTGTTTTCCTTCTTCCTTTCTGATAACTAGTTTTCCTTCTTGATGGAATACCTTGGATTCTTCTCACTACTATTGTTCTTGGCAATGGAACTGTTTGAAAACTCTTTGGTCTTGGCAAAGGGATTGTATTTTCAACCTTTTTTCTTCTTGGCAAAGGGATTGGTTTCTGTCTGTTCACTACTAATTAACATGTATGGTGTTGATCTTAGTTTTTCATCCACACTCTTAATGCCAAGTGTCTTTTGTAGCTCTGGCTCTGTGAGGTACAAGGTGTTTTTCATGTTTTTTCCCTTGCCATGGCCAGAAGGATGAAATTAGTTAGTTTGGGTTTGCATTCTCTGCTTCCAATTATGGAACCAATGAGCTCTTTTTTTCCTGTCATACCATGTGGCCAACAGTCATAATTCAATCATTTTCTTGTTCCTTATTTCCTCTTCTGTCATTTCAAAAATATCTATCATTTTTATTTAAGATGAAAAAATACTTGTATTTATCATCTTCAATAAAAATGAAGAAAAACCTTTTTTCATCAGAGAAGAAAAGTGCAGAGGAATATTCATGATTCTTGATGAGAAATTTTTAGAAGGCTAGACTGTTACAGTTAAGGAATTGTGATACTGTTTACTCACTAGAACTCGACATATTGCAGAAGTATGATATTTGCATTTGAAAATGCATTCAACTCTTTGTCTGAATATGAATGTTGAATGTTGTGCCGCGTAGCACTGGGAACACAAATGGTGAAACAGAGAATTAACTCTGAAGTGTAAATTAAAGTGCTACTTAAACCTGTCGTCCCCGACTTTCTCTGTGCGACCTCGTAGCTCAGTCGGCAGAGTAACGGTAGATCTAATCCGGAGGTCGTGGGTTCGATTCCCACCGAGGTCAAAAGATTTTTTCTTTGCCTCGTGTGGTTCCCTGTTTCCCTTTATTAGGGCTAACGCCCTGTGGGTTATTCATGGGTTTAAGTAGCACTTTAATTTACACTTCAGAGTTAATTCTCTGTTTCACCATCTTTGTCTGAATACCTGAATTCAGTTCACAAATCTAGACAAGAGTTTGATTACCAGAAGAACAGAGTAAAAATATGGAATGACTGATAAGATTTGAATATGATGTTGAAAATCCTGAGAGATTTACAATACGGAAAGTAAGGGATAATAATTTCATCACGGAAAGCTTTTATGATGACCAAAGGAGATAAAGGTTTCACTTTTGATACCTTGAATATTCATCATAGCAAGTAGCTTGTTCTGTGGTTCAGTATACTATGTGAAAGACAATAGCTTGCATTCCAGATCTCTTTAGCTACTGGTAAAGTTGAGAAAAGATTTTTCATTTAGTTCAAGAGTTACAAATTGTTAGGGAGATCTGAAATGTATCAATTACATACCTTTGGAATAATGTGTCTTTACAATGTATACACTTATGTCTTGAGATGACCAAAGAAAAGCCATGATTCATTTTCTTGTCAAATTTGACTCTTAACCCTTTCTGCTAAATGTTAACAGAAAACCAAGTTTTTTCTGATAGTCTTTCTTGATCTGTTCCTTCAGAGTTTTGTGATCAACTTTCTCACTGTTTTTAGCTTTTTAGTCTGAGCTTCTCTTTCAAAACACGATATTGCTCAAACTCAGGCAATATTGAGTTGAAATTCAATATCTGAGATCATGGTAGATTGTTATCATGAAGAATAATTTACTGCTTCAAAAGGTTTTTTCTCTGACATCAAACATCCAAAACGATTGAAATATCTCCATGAAAGTGACTGTTATCTTTGTCTAAGAGATCAGTTTATTATGTAGTTGTTCAATGAAGCCAATTGACAGATCATATTGTCTCCTTGTTGCTAATGACAACCAATCCCCAGACCTGAAAAAAGATCTGTATCTAAGGAGTTTAAAATTCTGAGAGCATTTTTCAATGAATTCATCAAAATTTTTAGTCCCTCTTTATCCAATGTATTTCCGCAGGCTTTTTGCAAGACTTTCAATATTTTAGTTTCCAGCAGGAATTGTTTCAGCAGAGAATTGTCTTGTACATCATCAAAGCTTGGAAAAATTCAGGCTTTTTGTTGGGATTCTAACCTGCGATATGTCTTGAATGTAAGGCAGATGCCATACTGTCATGTGAACTTTTTTCAGGGATTACATATTTCATTTCTGTTGCAATGACTTTGAAGACAGTACTTCCTAATTTTTTTTTTCCCTAAAGATGTGAATTGAACTTGTCTGTACTTAATTTCAGAAGGATAGATGGTAAATGTAACTTCTTTTTCTTGTTTTCTTGTTTCAGTGAGGACTTTGGAAAAAATTTCAATCATGTGAATGCTGAAGTTTTTAATATGCATATCAGAAAGGACAGTGGAATCTTGAAAAGCCCAATTGACCCTAACAAGGTTAGTAACTCTCCCATCTTGTGTCTCTACATTTCCTTGTTAATTATGGCCGAGTTGAAATAATAGGGTAATTTAGTATTCTCAACTGAGTTGATGATGTAAATTGGCCACCATAAAGAGTTGGCTGACGGTTTGAGCGTTAGTTCTTTGTCATTTGCTCTGATGAATGGTTAGCTCTCAAAATGTCAGCTTTTAAACTCTTAATGGTGGCCAATTTATGTTGTCATCTCAGTTGATTATGCTAAATTACCCTGTTGTACACAGCACCTCAGTCTCTCTAGAAACTTACCACTTTCATTAAGTTGAGAGAATGTTGTATTTTATCAAGAAAACCCTTAAATGACTAGTTTGTCTATTCTTATGACCTGTTTCTATATTAAGTATTGATCTTGCAAGGAGAAGCTACTCATTGATCATGAAGTGGGTTTGATTTCTTGGGGGGACTGAACAATTTTGTTTGTTCCACACTCTTGAAAAGACAAATAACAGCTTCCTTTACTGAACTATTGTCATTTCCACTGTCACCTCAATCTGAATACTAACTGGGACTTAAACCCTTCAACACCCAAGATTTGATTATTAATTCTCCCCTCTAGCTGCTCACATTTCCTTGTAAATTAGTTAGGAGAATTTGGTTTAGATCAAGACAAAAATTTCTACCTGATAATTGTTTAGTATTCTATTCCTTTCCTGCTAATTAATGTATGGATATCATATTAGGGAGAAATGACATGTTTTAAAATCACATCTGGGAGTTTACAGTGCAATGTGCTATTTACCATTATACCACATTATCATCAACTTATTTAACCTGTTCTCTTGACTGATGCTTTGATTCTGTTTATTTTGATTTGTAGGTTATTCTAGTTTCTCACAGCATTCCATTTTTCCCAACACAATCTGGCCTGGTTATCACCAAAAATGGGGGGAAAAGTTGGGAGAAGATGAAAGTTCCATTTCAGATCAGTGGACCACTTCTGTTTCATCCATGGAAGGAAGATTGGATCTTGGCAAGGGCTGTTGTTAATGGGATGGTAAGAAGGGTTGACTGGCAGATTGTCCATTTATGAGTTACTGATGGCTTTTTGAGAACTTTCTAATTAACTGACTCAGACCGACTTTGTAAGTGACTTGCTCAATAACTGATGACATGAGTGAATGACTCACTGACTGATTCTTTTGGCTGACTAACTTACTGACTGACTTATAGACTGACTGACTTACATACATACTGATTGACCGACAGACTTACATATTGACTGACTGACTTACAGATTGACTGACTGACTTACAGATTGACTGACTGACTGATTGACCTGTAGATTGACCGACTGACTTACAAATTGACTGACTGACTGATTGACCTGCAGATTGACCGACTGACTTACAAATTGACTGACTGACTGATTGACCTGCAGATTGACCGACTGACTTACAAATTGACTGACTGACTGATTGACCTGTAGATTGACCGACTGACTTACAAATTGACTGACTGACTGATTGACCTGCAGATTGACCGACTGACTGACTGATTGACCTGCAGATTGACCGACTGACTTACAAATTGATTGACAGACTGACTTACAAATTGATTGACTGACTTACTTACTGAATGACCTGCAAATTGACTAACTGACTAACAGATTGACTGATTGACTGACTTACTGAATGAGCAGCAGATTGACTTGCTGACTTATAGGCTGATTGACTGATTTAAAGAGTGATCAATTGTGTGACTCACTGAATGACTGACTGACTGCCCAACTTGCAGATTGACTAACTGACCTATAGATTGACTGACTGACTTACAGACTGACCTACAGATTGACTGACTGACCTACAGATTGACTGACTGACCTACAGATTGACTGACTGTCCTACAGATTGACTGACTGACTTACAGACAGACTTACTGATTAAGAGAGTGATCTATTGTGTGACTCACTGAATGACTGATTTATTCGAGATCACTTCCTTGAATTTTGTTGCTGCCAAACAGGCCAACTTTAATGCAAAATTTGCATCAACAAACCATCTTGTCTCCTCTATATTTTATAGGCTTATTTATCAACAGACTTTGGACATAACTGGAAATTTTTACAGAGTTATGTTAGGAGCTTAAAATGGTAAGAGAAAAGGCGAGATGTTAGTTAAAAAATTTCCAAGCAAGTTCAAGTTTTAGGTTTCTGAAATGAAAATAAGAATAAAAACTGGGGTGAACATGTTTATTGAAAGAGGCAGGGAGAAATTTGAACTGGAACATACACTGCAGGGTGTGAAATTAATTTTTTTTTTTCTGATAGCCACTTGGCTCCTAAATTCTTCAAAGTGGTAGCCAATTCAAAAAATTTGGTTGCCCTTTTCAAAGATAAACAAAACCTTTCTTTACGCTGACAGTGTTCTAGATAGACCCTCCAAAATTAAGTTAGGGAAAAGATCTTTAACGTGCTAAAAAGTGGACGCTAGAATGGATGGTGTACAACCTTAAAGCTCACCTAAATCCAAGATGGCGTATAGTTATCGATCAAGATGCATATGCTACGTTGTGGAAACAAACTTAACAAGGAAGTTTGCCGCAGGTTTATCTTTGCAAATCTTTTTAATTCCCTATATCTCTTGGTTAGGTTATGATGAAACATTCTAGTCACCAATTTGGCGACTAACTTTTAGGATTTGGTCGCCAAAGTGAAAAATTTAGTCGCATTGGCGTCTGTATTAGGCGCGATTTCACGCCCTGCACTGTATGTGTATACCCAACTAGTAGTCATCTTTATGTCAGAGGAACTTTTAAATTTTGTTGTTTTGATTTGGTCTTAGGGGTGCCATCACAGATACAAAAAAGGAAGAAAACACAATTTTAATGACAGTCTCATCTAGTGAGTAACCTTTTGGTGACTGTGCATTAATCAGCTTGCAAACATGTAGCTGCTTTGAATTGTTTGATCTATTGTGTTTGTTGTCTTGCAGTTCTGGAAATAGCTTTTTATTTTAAAGGGGTGATAATGGTATTTTGAAATGTCATAGCTTTTGGAAAAAGTTCAAAACATCTTTTTAAATTCTCGTCAACCTCTCATGAGTCCCAAAGTTTTGTGCACAGAGGGTTGTATCTTGGTCTTGAAGTCTTGCACTTGTTTTATACAGTGAACAGAGAGCTAAAATGAAAAGCAAAATACAAAATGTCCTCAGGGAGCATGCCAGTTTCAACTTAATGTACCAGTACCTATTTTTCAGGTTGTGGGAAGCTCACTCAGTTAATTTTCTTTTGCATGAACAGCTCCTGTTGTTAATCCCAAATCTGGAAAAAACTCACATAATTTTGAAACTCCTATCCATGTTGAGCAGAGCACAGAAAATAATTTTCTTTGTTTGCCATGCATGTATCTGCTCTGGTAATATTATAGACGATTACCAATCAAAGTGCATGCAGTATTTCATTTTATGTTTTGAGTAAATGTAAAGTTGCCAATAGATCAGTTTTAATTGAAGAAAGTGTTGAATTTTATTGAAACTGTAATCACGTGTCTTTAAAATTAACAGATGCTAATAGCTTCCTAAAAGGAGAAGCCAAGTTGCTTAGATCAAGAGACCTTGGAGAAAAGTTTGAATGTAAGTTTTAAAAAATAGCTTTAAATAATAAGATAATTTTTTGATGAATCAGACATTTCCTACAGAACAAGTTGGAAGAATAATTTCTGCTCTTTTTCACCTTAGTCTATGTACTTTGAAAACGTTTTTCCTTTTTTTGACATGATGTAGTCAGCTCTGTTAAAAATCATAAGGTTTTGACCGCATATACTTCAATTGATAAGATTGATTGATCAGACATTACCTTATGCATCGTGCTTTGCTCATAGTGCAACTAATATTGATAGCTGAAATGCAGATTAACCATTTTATCCAGAAGTGATCAACACGTAACTTTCCCTGTAACATTTATACTTAATCCAGCAAACAGGAAATGAGAATATTCAAACTTATCAGGTAGAAATTGTTGTCTTGATCCAGCACCAAACTCTCGTGTCTAATTTACAAGGAAAGGTTTAGAGGCTAGAGGGGAGAATTAACAATCAGATCGCGAGAGTTGAAGGGTTAAGACTTTATATTTGGACAATTTCTAGCTATCCACGTTCAGCATGTTTACTCCTTTGGACTTCAGGGCCACTTCCTCTTTGTCTCTGTGCGCCACAATATGGTATGTTAATCCTATTCTTTACATGATGTATTACATTCATTTTGAAATCACTGTGATCTTTGCAATCTGATTGGCTCTCATCGCTGCAATTTATTCTCGAATTGCACCAAGCTCGAGACTTTTCAAAGGCGCAATTTGGTGACGGGGAATCAAGAAATGATTGTCAGTAGAAAAATTTTAATCATTGGTCGCTGGCAATCTATTTTGAAGAAAGGGGGTGAGTTTCTAAAGAGTGGTGCTGCGTCGGTGGGAGAGTATAACAGGGTAATTTAGTATTATCAACTGA